TATTCTTTTAACTATGTATGTATAAGTAGGACAATCTGTATAAAAGTTTCAGTTTAGATGTGTATGCTTTAGTCCCTCCTGAATTCTTCATATTTCAGTTTATAAAAACAGATTAGATGAGGCTGTTTTATAGACGATAGAGAATAAAAAAAGATCACCAGTTAAAATAGACAATTTGATAAATGGAATATGTGAGGAAAGTTTAAGGCCATTACTTTGCTCTCTTTTTTCTTTTCCTTCTCTTTGGAGGGTTTCTCCCTATGCTTGAAATTTCTTCTTAGGGTAATACTGATGAAGAAATCTTTGTTCTAAGGCTACACTTTTCACTAAGATTTGTAGATTCATTTATAATTTTTAAGTTCTCCAAAATTCCTCTGTTAATGACTCTCCAATTCGTTGAGGTTTTCCAGATAGAAATTGTTCTTATTTCCTTTATTTCTTAGGTCTGTGTAGTAGGTTGGCTAGAGGAGACAGCCTGGACTTTTCATCCTGTTTCTGCTGTCACAGGTTGCTGAGAGCAGTCTCCGCCAGCCTGTGGCATAGGCTCTGGTAATTGCCTCTGGAAGGCCATTTCTGAATAAGGGTGACTGCAGCCAGGCCCTTTTATACCAGCAGGACTATTGCTTCTCCTTTCTGAAACAGAATTTGATCTCTGTAGTTGCTCTTGTCATGATGGTTTCTGGCATTTACTCATGTCAGCAGCAGGTTATGGAAATATGTAAAGTGACAGTGACCAGTACAAGAGCTGCTAGCCACCTGTGACATTTTAACTTTTAATTAAAATAAACATTTCCATTTCTGATTTACACTAATCACATTTCAAATTCTTAGTAGCCACATGTGGCTAGTAGCTACCATATTGAAAAACACAGATGGAGAAAGTATTCATCATTGCACTTGTTTCAATTGTATAGCACTGGTCTAGAGATTAAATTTTCCATAGAGATAACTTACGGTAAGTTTTCATTAGACTCCTGAATTTCTTTTAAAATTCATTCGCTCCATCTTTCAAAGAACATCTCTAAGGAACTTAACAACCTTTTAATTTAACATGGGGGAACTTAGCATTTCTTTGGTTGCAAATTATAAGTTCGTCTTTTAAAACTGACTTGAACAATAGATATTTACTGTGCTCACATAAGGAGTTCTTACAGTTTGAGTGGTTAGTTTTGTTACACTGAGTTATTCTCAGGGATCAGATTCTGTCTTCTAATTTGGATATTCTTCAGTGGGTAGGTATGTCTCTCAAATTTTCTGCAAGGCTAGTATTCCTCAAAACATCACCTTATTACCTGAAGACTAAAAGCTGTGTCTGACTTTATTGAGGTGCAAAATCTTCTAGAAGCTCCCTGAACTCCTTAGTGGCATCCTAATTGGCCAAATATATATAATCTCTTTGTGTCTTATTATCCCTGTTGATAAACAAAGAGTGATAACAGTACCTTATTCATTAGGCTGCCATAGGTGAATGTGTTAATATCTATAAAACACTTGGAACCACTATCAGTCATATCAGAACTGTACTAGTTGGTTACTTGCAACTGCAAAATCAACAGATGCATTTTGTGAGCACTAATCAGCTTTGTGAAATTCACAATAAAGCATGTCCCATGTATTGTTACTTGATAAGTGTGTGCTGCATATCCTTTATGTAAAATTTATAGCAAACTTGTATACTGGTAGATGTGCACACAGTATTTTTGTTGTTATAGTTATCACTGAGTAACACTGCTTCCACTTTTATCCCTGAAGGTTAAGGAAGGTTCTTTAGCATAGTGTCTGACTGTAGCTTGTAGGAGATGTTGGTATCTTACCCAGATTTCTTTTACTAGGCCAGTGTATCCATCTCCCAGCTGCTGTGAGTACTGGCTGCTGATGACTCACTCCTGAACCCTTCTCTAGCGAACTGCTCTTGACTGAGAGTAATTGTCTCAAGCAAATATGTGTAGGAGATTATAAGATCAGGCCCCAACCCCCTCCTGCTCCTCAGGGTGACTATACAGGGGTGTAACACCAACCTCCTTGCCTCTGGACTGAAAAACTTCTGTGGTTCCATCCAAGCTCCAAGGTCCTTCAGGAATCAAGCCAAGACTGGATTTCTGAAAACATCTTTGCCAAGATTCTTTCCCCTATCTTACTTCTTTCACTCCTGGTTTCTTTTGACCCTATTTAATTTATAATCAATGTATAAGAAATATCATGTCTATCCTCTAGATGGAATTAAACAAGGATGTCTAGCTAAGCTAGCAATTTATCTGAGTCTGGTTTCTGTTACTATAACAGAATATCACAGACTGACTAATTTTTAAGGAAGAGAAATTATATATCACAGTTCTGGAGGCTTGGGAAGATCTGGATCTGGTGATGGTGTTCTTAATGTGTAGAAAGCATTATGTGGTAAGATGGAGTAAGTGTGCCAACTCGGATCTCTCTTCCTCTTATAAATCATGGGGTCTTCACCCTCATTATGTCATCTAACCCTTAATTATTTCTTAAAGGCTCTACTTCCAAATATCATGAACAGCTCTTGTTGCTTTACTACCTTTGGGCTGCCATAAACTGTTGTCCTTCTGTCACCCTGCCTTGGCCCGCCAATTATGGACTGAAACCTCTATGAACTGTAAGCTAAATAAGTATCTTCCCCTCTAATTTAGGGTGTTATTTTGTCTTAGTAACAAAAGAAAGCAACTAAGTCAAAATTTGGTACTAGAGAAGTGGGGCCTTTGTTGTGACATCACCTGGCCATGTGGCTGAAGAGCCTTTGGAACTGGTTTGTAAAAAGGGGAAGAGTTTAGAAAGGTTTGGAGCTGGCAGCTGTAGAAGTAGAGCAGGAATGCCCCAGGCTGTTCTGTATGGGAGGTTTTGGTCAGAGCTCAGAATATCAGAAAGCTAGTAAAGACCAGGCTCTGGAGGTTTGTGCTGAGAAGGACTGCATTGGCTCTTGGACTCCAAACAGCTTGGCAGAAAGTTTGTCTGTATTTTGCTCCTGTCCAGAGACTTTGCCTGCATCTGAGATTAAGGGTGGTGAACAAATTAATCTCACAGAAGAAATTTCAAAGCAGGCTAATATTGAGTCTGTGGCATGGCTGCAGCTGAGGGCTTTTAACCAGATTTATGTTGAGAATCAAGGGCAAAAAGTCAGCAGAATGATTTAAAATGTTTTTAATTTGGTCAGAAGAGAAGCTCCAGTAAAGCTGTAGACAGCAAAAATAGAGCAGAGGTTATCTTGATTGCTAAGAAGGAACAGGGGAATAGAAAAGATGACCTGAGGGCATCACAAGAAGCAGCAAGACTCCACCCTTTGCAGCTTCAAAATTGCAAAAATGAAAGACTGATTTGAGAAGAGAGTCTCAGAGCACCGTGTTGCAGAATGGCAGCAGCCTAGAGAATTTGCTCCTCGGAATTGGATTCAGAGTGCTCAGCAATCCAGGCACTTAACCCCTACAAGCCAAGAGAGAGGCTGCTGCTGCTCCAGCTGGCAGCAGACCTTGGTGTCATTCACATGATGCTGGTTTTAGGTGCACCCAGAATGGAAGAATTATGGGATCAGAAAGACTTCCACCCAGATTTCAGAAGAAAGCCTGGGAGGCCAGGCAGTGTGACCCTGAGAAGGCAGTGTGAAGCTGTGAGTGTGAAACCAAAGGTGCAGTGAAGAACCCAGAAGTTTGGAGAAGCTGGGACCATGAACTGTCTGAGGAAAATTGCAAGGAGGGAATAAAATGGCCCAAAAGAGAAGCCATGGGAGCTACCACCACTGGCAGTGCCATTGGGATGGAGCCACCAAAGTCCTCTGGAGTTCACAACTTGCCAGAGTTCACAACTTGCCACAGATTGCCAGGCGTACTGGAAGTGGAACTGTGGGATTTAATGTTTGCCTTGATGGATTTTGGACTTACTTTGTTCCCATTTTTCTGTATCCTCCTGTCCGTAACCTTTTGGAATGGTAATGTCTATCTTGTGCCATAGAATGTTGGAAGTGTTGAACTTTCTTTTCATTTGTACAGGGTTTTGTCTTAAATCTCAGAGGAGACTTTGGACTTGAACTTTTTCAGCAATGCTGAAACTGTTAGGACTTTGGCAACTTTTAGAGAAGGACTAAATTTTTTTTTCTTGCATAAAAGGATAATGCATGAGTCTTTAAGGAGGCCAGAGGCAGAATATTATGGCTTGTGTCTATATGTCTAAAGCCTCATGTGGTCCTTTTTGGAGGTGGGTGAAATCTAGAGCATGTGATGCTAAGATTAAGGGTGTGTGAGTACTAAACCACTACACCTGAGTGATTGGTTTAGCATTGCCCTAATTCCAGTAGCCTGAATAAGATAAAAGGGGCAAAAAGTTGCTGTTAAATTCTCTTGTTGCTTTGCTACCTTCAGGCTGCCATGAACTGTTGGCCCTCTTCCACTCTCCCTTGGAGCTAGCCAAGTATGGGTTCAAACCTTTATAAAATGTAATTCAAATAAACCTTTCTCCCTTAAAAAAAATACAGTGAACATTAAACTTGCAGATTAAGTTTCCAACACATAAATTTTGGGGTGATGCTTCAAACCATATCACAATTTTGTCCATTTGTCACCAAACTGATATAAATGGTACAGAGACACCTTGGTGAGCATCTGGGTGACACTACTCTTTCAGTTAAGTCTATACTCAATTCATAGAAAGCGTAGTATGGGTAGGGCTCTTAAGTAGAGCCTAAACACAGTCTTTTGATTTTTAAGTCAAAGAAGTCTTACCCTGATTCTTTCTCATGTATTTTGATGTAAAAATCATGAAGAATGACTTAAAGTTTTATGTTCTCCTTCAAGGTCCTATCTGACCCTTGACACTAATGTCTTCGCTCTCACCCATCGTCTCTGCCTTTTTCTAGATTCAAATTCTACTCCATCTTACAGACTTTCATACTAAATTTTGAAAAGGTTTCCAGCAGAAATTACTATTGGGAACATTTTTCAGTTTCTGAAAATCATCTTTAAAAGTGAAATTTGTTTTGTTTTTGACAGGAGCTGATAATATCCGGAAATACTGGAGTCGCTACTACCAAGGATCTCAAGGAGTAATATTTGTATTAGACAGTGCTTCTTCAGAGGACGATTTAGAAACTGCTAGAAATGAACTGCACTCAGCTCTTCAGCACCCACAGTTATGCACTTTACCCTTTTTAATATTGGCCAATCATCAAGACAAACCAGCAGCCCGCTCGGTGCAAGAGGTATGTCTCTTTAGTGTTCCGGCTTTTCATTTACCTTGTTTGTTTGTTGGACTACTGCTATCATACTGGAATCTGGAAAGATGCATATATTTAGGGATGTCCAATTATGCTATTTTGATCTTGAATCCATGATTCTCTTAAAAAGCCTATATCAGTTTCTTAGGAATTTACATACTTAATCCTACTTGAAGAATACGGTGAAAAATTTTTTAACTGCATATCAAAAGTTAGAAAACATGTGTAGGTATTATTCTCATCTGTTTAGAAGGGCCTGTTTAATTGTTTCAGCTCCACCAACTTAATTTATTCTTCTCTTATTCAGCTTTTCAAATGCATTTTGTATATTCCCATGAATCACTTGTCTTCAAATGTCATGTTCTTGTCCCTCTGAAATACTTGCTGTTGACTCGAAGCAGGGGGTCCTATTAGTCAGGATGAAAATTGATATCTTTTCAATTCCAATTCCTAAATAACATTTTAATATAGATCCACTCATTGATTTTCTCATTTTAATTTTGAAAAAGCAAATAATTCTGGACAAATAAATAGTTTCATTCAACCAAGCTTCTAATTCATGGTACTAACGGAATATGATTGAGTAGTTTTAAACTTATGTAATAATGAATTATAGCCTAAGTACAGTGAAATGAAAACTTTTGCTGTATCACTTTGCACTTGTAACTTTGAGTATGTATATTCTTCCACTTCCTCAGAAAACTGTGTGCTTCCTCACGGTACTATGGAATAAGATGATTAATAGGAATGACAGTGCCACTTATTTTGAAAAATAGCTGAGCCAAAAACATAGGTGTTCTAGCTCCAGACCTCACACAGTTAGTGTGTGACCTATGGCAAATAGTTTTTTTCTTTTACCTGGCTTTTCATCTATAAAATGTGAATAATGCACATTCTTGTGAGTGGATTAGCTTGGATATTTAAAGAATGAAGCAGAAGAGGGACATATATAGACAGTTTTTATTTGTTTTAGAAAAATAATTTTAAAAGGTAAGTGGTTCACTGTTAGAGCTTTTGTCTGTGTTTAGATACCTCATTCAGCATTAAGTACTTAATATATTTTTTCTTTATGGATTTCAGAAAATGCCTCATTTAGGAATTAAAAATAAAACAAAAATTGCTACAAAAATTTATTTACAGAATCATTATTATGCAAATCTTGAACATGTAATTATGAAACCTTCTTCATCTGTTCTGAAGAGCTTGGGTAAATTTATTAGTATTTCATTATCAGATTGTCTGTAAAAACGGATATAGTAGTATGCAGTAATGGATTGTTACATGTGTAACGTTAGTTTATGATCTAACATGCTTTGCTGAAGATACGTTATTTATTCTGATAGTTATTGCTGGAAAATGCATAGGAATATATTATAGAATATAGACAGGCAATATGCATGTATACACAAAGCATGTAATAATAATGACATGAGACAGATTTGATACAATATATATAATTTCAAATTACTTTTTTGCAAGTTACATGTAATATCTGAAAATAGATTTTCTTCTTTTAAAGAAACTGTTTTCTTTAGGCCTAATAAATTGAGACAGATGTGTTACTTAAACCCAATATATGACTTACAGCAATCCTCTGTAGGAAGTAAAGACTGTCACATTGCATAAAGAAAGTTTTTGGCAATTAATTTTTTCTGAGTATTCCTTGTGTAGGTTAGCTGGCTATCTCACCTAGAAAAAGAGCAAATCACCCCCCTTCATTTCGCTTGATTAATATTTTATCAAGACAGATGGCTTTAAAAGTAGATTGATCATAGGTGTGGTTTGAAAATGATAGTAAACTTATGTACTGGAGTATATAAGACTGATTTTATTTTTCATTTATATTCATTTTAAAATTAATTTTCCTGAAACATTTTCCTTATAATGGAATTTGTATAGTACCTTTTTTTCAATTTTTTTCACCATTGGAATCTTGTACCTTACATGACATATCTTGCTTCTTATTTTTACCCCATTCCCCTTCCATCTCTCCACCCCCTCCACCCTTTCCTATTAACAAATACTTTGTTTCATTTATTTCCTTTTCTCTTATTTTTTCTTTTCCCTTCTTACCTTTCCCCTACCCCTCCCACTTCCCATACACTTTTAGACCTTTTTTCCTATTACACAATATTAGTTAAACATTTTGATCCTTATTTACACTTTAGTTTATCACATCGGAGAAACTCTACAGTATTTACACGTGTGTTCTATTAATTTCATTTGAGTAAGTCTTCAGTGTGCATCCACTTAGCTATGTCTTCTAGTTTCTCATTCTTTATGGCTGAGTAGTACTCCATTTTATTTAAAAAAATACGTCTTTATCCAGTCTCTAGTTTGTATAGTACCATTTTGAAAAATGTTTTAAGTAAAACATTTTTGCTGTGGTTATATAAACATATAAAGATTCATGTTAACAATTTGACTACTTTATCAAGCTTCATTGACAAATTCCTTTATAGACCTTGAAGTTTGTGGAAGAATAATAAATGCTCACATTTACTTTGGAGTTTCCCCAAAAGGAAAGGGAAGCTTTCAATCTTTCTCATTTCTTGGTGACAAAGAGATTTCTCTGTGTACTGTATTACGATGCCTTGTTGAAATACTCTCAGGACTATTTTAAGAATTAAATCAGTACATTATTGGTAGCATAAAATGGAGTTGTGGATCTGACCCTTCAGTGTTGCTTAAATAATTTTTTGTGAGCAGGCTTGAGTAGAAAATTGAGAAGCATGTAAAGTCGTTTCATGTTCCTTGAAATATGTTTGGACATACTCCTTTTAATTATTTTGTTCATAAGAGTACTGCATCTCTATATTTGTGTGCAGTTTGTAGAATTTCCAAATGTTACAAAGATGCCTGTGAATTTCAGGCAAAATTCTGTTCTTTAAGAATCAAAGGAGGTGCAATTAGCTTACCAAAATGTGCTGACCAACTTGGTACAGTTAAGAAAAAAAGACAGTAGGCCACGAAGACTCTTACTGATTCTTTTTCCCCAAATGAAAATTATTACATTTTATGCTTTATGCAGAAAGTGGGTCATTATTTATTCTGTCACTGAAGTGAAACTTTAAGAGTTCATGTGTTTAATAAGGATGTCAGAGTATTACTGACTTTAGAAGTAGATTGAAGCCACTGAAATCCAAAGGAGAAAGAATTATCACAGGAGTTCCAGAAAAAAAAAAAAAATCACTAAGAAATTAAAATTTTCGTTCTTTCCTCTGGGATGAATGCTGCTGAGTTTCTGTGAAGCATTGAGTGAAGAAACAAAGACAATGTTTAAAATTACTATGTAACCTACAGTCAGGGGGCAACATGCCCAATTATTTTGTTGCCCTTTGAGAAGCAAGTGGAATCTTATCCATAGCATAATTTTCCTTTAAGATTTTGTATCCTGAGAATTGTAGTGGATCATTTTTTTTTTAATAAGAAACTTTAAAAATAGCAAAATTGAGGAAAAGAGCACCCTTTATATGCTGTCAGAAAGCCAAGCAATTCTTACAACAGCTGCTTGTTTTATGCACTTTGGGGAGGTGTAGTTACATAGTTTTCCACAATTCACTTGTATCAACTATTTTTCTCTATAGAAAACATACTAGAAAAATCTATAATTATGCCAAGTGGTCCACTTGATCCTTTTGGGGAAAATCCGGTGTAATTTAAAAGATAAAGCTATAAAATGAGAAATCTTAAGGGTAAATAGGCTAGCTTTTTATTTATATTGAATTGTAATTGTATCTAATTTGTTTTACTACTCCAATGGGAGAGCATACTTTAGCTCTGAAGTTATTCAATAGGTCAGGAAGATTTTATGAGAGGTTGATATAGTAGCCAATAAATGCAATAAATATAATCCTATTTTCCCTTTACACAGTTGGTGATTGTTATTCTTTTACCTCCTGGCTTTTTAAAGTCTTATTTTCATTTTATTGAGTATTATCTTATCTTATAAAATGGCACATTTTGTTAACATTAAAGATATTGTTCAGATTTTTAAAGTTTCATATAATTTGATGTTTATCTATATCCTTAATCAAAAAATTTTTAACTTTTTTGTGTGTCACTTGTACTGTATTGCAGAATATTTTCTATTAAGACAAATGTTGATTGAGAAATACAAAAACTGAAACAGATTTTTGAAGTAGAATTTTAAGATTCAGTGACTGTTGATTGAATAACTTAACAGTTTAGCACAGGAAAATCCAGTTTCTAAATTAAGGAATCAAAATTAACATTTAAAATTGGTGATTAGGTTATTTCTAAATTTTCGCATAATTGTAATTTTGTTTGTTATGGTGTACATAGAACTTGATGTTATATTGAATATAAATGTGAGAAGAGTACTTGAAAATATTTTTATAATGAAATAAACATTTCTAAGGTTCTGCTTTGTTTCGGCTGTAAGTACTTTAGAGTTTTTGAACCATGCATTTAATACTCTGTCAAAAATAATTTTAGATTTCATTTTTTAGTCTGTGGATATCTTCTGGAAGAGAGTGATGGTATGTTTTTATGGTATTTAACTATCACATTTAATTATGATTATTATTTATAAATTACTTCCACGTTGTGTACTTATTTCCGTTTCTTCAGGACTTATCAAATAGTAAGACTTTAGTTTAAATTTTGTATTTCATACTTAAAATTTTTGACAATAGATCAGCTCTTTTCTTGGTAGCTCTATGAAGTAACAAATGTATTCTTGGATTTTACATGATGCATCTTTTGTTACAAAATGCAAAGGACTGGTAAAATCACAAATATTTAGCTGGTTTAATATTAGTTTCTGTGTATGGAAAGAAATGTGTTTGTAAAATAATCATTGGGAAGTGTCATATACTTTAAATCTTTCAGAGTTTCCAAGTATCTTGACCTGTCTCTCTTGGCAGCATTTTTGAGTGCTGATTTGATTTTACATACGACAATGTACATACTTATGGTATGAGCAGTTTGAAAACTCTCTCTTGGGATGTATAGTTATTCTA